CATCTGGTTTTAGACAGGTTTCTGTCAAACAGAGCACATTTAAGTTATGATCTGTGATCTTATCATTTACAAAAAGTGCTTTCTTGCTTTCGTAGAAAGGGATCTACTATTCATTAAGCCAAGCCTTATAATTTGTTTATATGTATTATGTATCTTTTTTATTTATTGAACATCAATTAAATTGTTACTCTTAGATTATTTTGGACATTTTTTGTATTTGCTAGTTCAGGGAACAGATACAGTCTCTATAGTATGATATCTAGGTAAAAGAGTCTCTATGTGCTGAGTATTAACTGACTTCTGTGACGTGAGGTGGCTAGCAGACGGTCGGTTTAGCCCAGGGGTCAGCATCCCGTGGCTCTTTCATTCCTCTGCGGTGGCTCCCTGTAGCATGGGGCGTAGAATACACGGGAGACGTGTTTCCCCAACTTTTAAAAAACCCTAAACTCTTCCCCTGCACTTTTTTCCGGCCAAGTGTGTTCACGTGGATGTTTTAAGGGCCAGTGAATAAATCTAGATTTAAATAAAAAGAGACAAAATCATTTTGGTTACTTTTTATTCGTATCCAAAACGATGTAAACATTACAGAGCACTAAACACTCTCATGCAGTGTGAGTTTCATTCAAGCTTATGTTTCATTCATACTGGAAGCCAGAGGGCGCTCTCTTGCAGAAAGTCCAAAATGGACTCAAAGAAGTAGTAGGTTAGTTTGACATGTCAGGAAATTCCTAATATGGACAAAGGCATCCCGCAATCACTGTAGCTCAGCTGAATAACAAGCATAAACCTTAATTGATGAAACGTCAAGGCAATAAACAATTGTGACAATATATGGTTTATGTGTGTTTTTCAAGTTTACTCCAGGTAAAAAAATTAAGTACATGAAGGATACAGTGCTAACTGACATAGCATTTATTACAGAACAGAAGCTATAAAATATATGTTCTGCCTTATTCTTTGATAAAAATGGAAAAAGTGCTTGTAGTATATAAACTAGGGCTGTGCAAAAAATTGAATGCAAAAAACTGAATGCGATTACCATGTGCATTTCATCAGTAAAGCCGATGAATCGCCTGTGATTATGAACGCGATATTGCGTAGCTTGTCAGTGGTAAATGCTGCTTGTCAGTAGTAAATGCTGCTCCATCTGAAAGCACGTGATGGAGATTTACTATTAACCACAGAACTGGCTTTACTGATGAGATGCGCATGACAATCGCATTCGGTTTTTTTTGCACAGCCCTAATATAATCCAATCATAATCATAAAATTGTCATCAGGAAAATATATAGAATACAAAAATATTATAGAATACAAATTATTGGTCATTGTCTAGCAGTGCATTTTATTTTTTAGCCAATTAAATATAAAAGATAAGAAGTTTCATTTTTTTCAATTAGACAATTATTACATTTAACATTGTCATTGAGTGACGACTGTCTGCTGTATCTTGTCACCACGATAAGCAGGGAGGGGACCAGAGCATATTACAGTGTCTGACATTGTACTTGCAAGTTTACACACATCTTTAATGTTATTTTTAATGATCTCCGACTGGCGAAGTCGAACATCATTAGTGCGGACGTGAATAACATGAAGGTCATCATGAATAATGTGTCATAGTTCACTTTCAAAAATTTCAATATTCTTCTATAATTTGTCATATTATTCAGTACAAATATATTTAATCACAGATCGAATCATATGATATTTAAACTATAGACAAAGAGCCAAAACATTTCTTATTTTTGCAAAATATTGGTGTCCATAATGTTCAGGTGTACATTAAATACAGAGCAAATACCTGGGTAAAGCATGCACATCATAAATAAACAAAATAAAGACAAAACGAAAGAATGAACAAAAGAAAGAAAGAAAGAAAGAAAAAAACAAAAACCTAAATCACTGACAAGAAAAACAAAACAGAGCAAAAATATAAATTGTCAAACATGTAAAAAAATATTTGAACATAAATGGCAAATAATCATCTAAAGCATGCACATTAAAAAAAGAGAGCAAAATTCTCTTCTTAAATTTATATTACAGTTAAATTATATTAAGTTTTTCTGAATTGCTAACAATTGCTAACTCATGAAACAATTCAATATTTTGTCACAACAGTAAACACAATCTCAAAACTACTCACCAACATACAGTGGGGAAAAAAGTATTTAGTCAGCCACCAATTGTGCAAGTTCTCCCACTTAAAAAGATGAGAGAGGCCTGTAATTTTCATCATAGGTATACCTCAACTATGAGAGACAAATCCAGAAAAATAACATTGAAGGATTTTTAAAGAATTTATTTGCAAATGATGGTGGAAATTGGCCATGGTGGAGTTTGGAGCGTGACTGTTTGAGGTTGTGGACAGGTGTCTTTTATACTGATAACGAGTTCAAACAGATGCCATTAATACAGGTAACGAGTGGAGGACAGAGGAGCCTCTTAAAGAAGAAGTTACAGGTCTGTGAGAGCCAGAAATCTTGCTTGTTTGTAGGTGACCAAATACTTATTTTACCGAGGAATTTACCAATTAATTCTTTAAAAATCCTACAATGTGATTTTCTGGATTTTTTCTTCTCATTTTGTCTCTCATAGTTGAGGTATACCTATGATGAAAATTACAGGCCTCTCTCATCTTTTTAAGTGGGAGAACTTGCACAATTGGTGGCTGACTAAATACTTTTTTGCCCCACTGTATATAAACCTCAGACTTCCAGGTAAAAAAGTTTAGTCAAAAAATATTCTCTTTTATCAGAACCAAACAGATTGCCCAGGGGATTGGTTCTTATTGATGGATTTGAAAGATGCATAATTTCATGTCCATTTAATCCCCATCACAGACAGTTCTTGAGATTCACGTCCGATGAGGTGGCTTACCAGTATGCAGTTCTTCCACTCTGACAGTCCCTGGCTCCACACACTTTTACAAAGTATGTGGACGTGGCCCACTTCCCTCTGAGACAGAAGGGAATGCGTGTCATGAACTACCTCGTGACTGGCTAATATTAGCCTGGTCGAAGCACAAGCTCTGTGCCCACAGGAACCTGCTCCTCACTCATTTGGAGCACCCTGGGCTCAGAATCAATTTAGCCAAGAGCTTCCTGTCTCCCAGCCAGTGAATTGCTTTGCTGGGGATAGTTCTTGACTCAGACAGACGCGGGCCTGGTTTTGCGCTGGAACACTCACTGAAAATTCAGCAGCATCATTTAAAGTAGGAGTTTTTCTTCCCATTAGAGTTTTCCAGAGGATGCTGGGCCTGATGGCGGTCGCCTCTTCTGTGGTTCTGTTGGGCCTGCGTCATACAAAATGGTAAGGCACCTCCTCTTGTGGGCACAATGCAACCTGTGCTTCTTGAAGGCAGTGCATGTGCAAGGCAAATTGAACCAGTCAGGGGACATGTGGTACCAGGGCAGTGTGTCTTCAGGAGAACGGAGATGCCCTTCCATGCTCAAATTGTATGTGGCAGCCATTGCCGTGAATCACACTATCTTGACTAGCCAGTCTGTAGGGAAAACCAAAAGAGTAATTAAGTTCTTGAGGGAAGACAGAATGGTCATCAGGGCCCTTCAAAGGCCTCCGTTTGAGCCCCTTCAGTCAGCCAACTTAATGGTCCTGCCCCTTAATACTGCCCTCCTGCTGGCTTTAGTGTCAGTCAAACAAGTGGGTGACCTGCAGGTGCTCTCAGTGAGCTTGAGTTTGGACCTACAGATTGCAAAGTCGTCCTTAAGCCAAGACACGTTTATGTGCCTAAAGTGCTGTCGACTTCATTCAAAGCACAGGTCATTACCCTTTTAACTCTTCCCTTCTTGCAAGAGGAGCAGGGTGCTAATTTACTCTGCCCGGTCCAGGCCATTGGGATATATAGAGCTCTCTAAGCAGTATCAGCAATCAGAGCATCTCATTGTGTTGATTAGGTGGATCTTGTCCACCTAATCAACATGTACCTCTGCTAGTATTCCAGGCTAGTTGTGCCCTTATTGGCCCATGTTACCCTAAGGGCCCTCATGTCGGGCGTCCTGGGGTTGGGCTCACAGGATAGCTTTTGTTTTGCACTAATACCACAACGTTATTGGACATCATTCTCCAAAGCATGATTCATGCAATATGAGTGAATCAAGGGAATGCTCTGGTTACTAACATTCCCTGAGATAACAGCAATAAAAGCATTACGTCCATGCTATAAAGCTGCATGCAAGTCAATGCTGTCACTTATCAGTCAAAAGATTCTGGTGAAATGGCACTCAGCATGGACTTATAAGCAGTCAGACTGAAATACCATTTGATCAAGCAGTTAAATGAACAATAACAAATCAGGCTTCATTATTCAGAGAAAACGGAGTTTCCCCCAAAGATTCAGTGAACCGTATTGAAAGGGAACCGAGATTCTGTTAGTAACTGGAGCGTTTATGAGGACACTTCCCAAATGGCTTCAAAAACATTCTAAACTATGTTTTTTGAAAATCAAAAAATGCAGAGAGTTTTGTGTGAGGGATATGTTTAAGTGTAGGGTTAGGGTATGGGGATAGAAAATAAAGTTTGTACAATTTAAAAACAATTACGCCTATGGAATGAACCCATAATATATGCAAACCAAATATGCGTGTTAGTGTGACTCTACAGGAGCAGGAATGAGGAACCTGTTTTACAGACTCGCAGACAAACCTGTTTTACTCGCGTCACTCAAACACAGAACCAGAAAACATGAATCACATGAGTTCAGGAAAAGAGAACCTGAAGTGTAGTTGAGCTGTTGTGTGTTTGTGTCTCTGTATTCATGCAGTAAAATGGAAGAAGACAGAATTTCAGTAAATAAGAAGGAGTTCTTGTGTCCACTGTGTCTGGATCTCCTGAATGATCCAGTGGCCATTCCCTGTGGACACAGTTACTGTAAGATCTGTATTACAGGCTGCTGGGATCAGGAGGATCAGATGAGAGTCTACAGCTGCCCTCAGTGCAGACAGACCTTCAGTCCAAGACCTGCTTTAGCTACAAACACCATGCTGGCTGAAGTGGTGGAGAAACTGAAGAAGACCAAACTCTCTGCTGACTGTGACGCTGGAGCTGGAGATGTGCAGTGTGACGTCTGTACTGGAAGAAAATACAAAGCCGTCAGGTCCTGTCTGGTGTGTCTGAACTCTTACTGTCAGAATCACCTCGAACAACATGAGAGTTGGTTTAAAGGAAAGAGACACAATTTGACTGAAGCCACTGGACGACTGCAGGAGATGATCTGCCAGAAACATGAGAAGCTCCTCGAGGTTTTCTGTCGCACTGACCAGAAATGTATATGTGTGCTGTGTACGATTATTGAACATAAAAACCACGACATTGTATCAGCTGCAGCACAGAGGACAGAGAAACAGGTATTTAAAACTAGCAATTAAGTTCATACTCAGTGCAGTGATCTAATAGTCTGTTTATATTCTCTGAAGAGCCGCAGCGTAATTGCACAGAACACAAAAAAGAGTGTAAAGTTCTATGTCTGTGTCAGTTTCACTTTTATAATACTTATGCTTGCAGTGTGAAACAGGCCTTAATCTTCATGTTAATTAATATATGATTATTGTAACTGATCATCTGTAGTTTGATCCTACAGCCATTAGTTATCAGTTCAGATAAGTAACCTTTAAACTGCCTCACCCTATGTTTACTGGATTCATCTGTTCACATGATTATTTAGTGCCAGTAGTTTTCTGTTTGTCCTGCAGAAGCAGCTGAAGGAGATGCAGAAGACGTTCCAGCAGAGAATCCAGCAGCGAGAGAAAGATCTTCAGCAGCTGAGAGAGGCTGTGGAGTCTCATAAGGTGAGTCTGGAGAAGAAGAGAAGTTTGTCTCCATCTCAGTTCAGACTCACTAAAGCCTGAATCACTGTGTCCTAACAGCGCTCTGCACAGACAGCAGTGGAGGACAGTAAGAGGATCTTTACTGAGCTCATCCGCTCCATTGAGAGAAGCCGCTCTGAGCTGATACGGCTGATCAGAGATCAGGAGAAGACTGCAGTGAGTCGAGCTGAAGGACGACTGGAGCGACTGGAGCAGGAGATCAATGATCTGAGGAGGAGAGACGCTGAGCTGGAGCAGCTTTCACACACACAGGATCACATCCAGTTCCTGCAGGTAACAGAGATCTAGAAGAACAGGATCATAGTGGACTTGAGCAGATCCTGCTGTGACAGAGACTCACAGAGAAACATTTCATGAGTGTCTTATTATATAATCATCAGTCAGACTCTCATCTGATCATCTTCTTCTGAAAGAGACGCTGCTTACAAATGGCTTTCAGCTCTGGAAATCTCTTAGGAATCATTTCTCTGAGCTCTTTCTTCTGGAATATATATTTAGCTGTCAAACACCACTAGTGCCACCAACAGTTCAAAACTTCACTAACATTTCAGCTTTTTACTTAATTTTTCCTTATGATTTATTATGTTATGGTGAAATCAGTGAACTTGATAGTACCGATTCTGAGTAACGTTCATCAAAGTTGGATCAGGTGATCCTCAAAACTGATAAAACTGTTTTAAAAAAATACATTTTATTTGTCTGTAACACACTGATGAATTTGACCATGAAGACCCCAAGCATGAAGTCAGGCTGTATATTAGCAATGCATCAGTGCATTGAAACCAAACCAAACCAGAGCGTGTCTTAAGGGTCCTTGTGAAGTTGCAGTGTCTCTAACCGATCTCAAAAGTTAAAAATAATGGTTAATCTAATCATAGCCTTTGAGCTGATTTTCCTGAGCAAATCTACTCAACCCTACAATGAGACTCCATTGATGTGCTTGAGCTGTTAGATGGACAATTATGTTCTCAGCAGATGTTTTATCATCCAAACTATTTCCTAGAAAGTTCACAGAGAGTGTAAGTGGCCAGTGTTGGGGGTAATGCATTACAAGTAACGCGAGTTACGTAATCAGATTACTTTTTTAAAGTAACTAGTAAAGTAATGCATTACTTTTTAATTTCCAAGAGAATATCTGAGTTACTTTTTCAAATAAGTAACGCAAGTTACGTTTTTTTCCAATTTATTGACTGACAGCTCTCCTGTCCCCATGGTGACAGAAATCAGAAGATGCTACTGTAGTTCTAAAATAAATATGAATATGCATTAATTCATCTCACTAAAAAACCCCCCCCGCAGATTCAGTATTCCTAAAAATGATTAAAAATAATGCAACTCAGAATATGACGCAAACCTGCAATAATTAAATGTTAAACAACACAAACATCCTTTATGTATTTAATCCCATTCCAATAACCAATGTCTTTGCTTCTGACCTTCGATGATTCAGTTCAATCATACTAATAAGCACAAATTACTCTAGACAAACATTTGTGGGTCTTTTTTTTACTGCTGAAGTGTTGAAATGTCTTCTTCTGCATTCTACTGTACGGGCGTAAATTTACTTTCCCTTCAGTCTGAGGCTTATTCATTTCACTTTTGGTATGAAAAGGCTTTTATATGTCATCCAAAATAGAAAATGTTTATTTTAAAAACAAACAAAGCAAGCCCTGTCCAGATTTAAAAAGTAACGCAAAAGTAACATAACACATTACTTCCCATAAAGAGTAACTAAGTAACGTAATTAGTTACTTTTTTATGGAGTAACGTATTAATTGGGGTAATACCAATTACCAATAATAGCTTCTCTCTTTGTTATACTATTGATCTCCACAAGACCCTCATTTAGCAAAAGTAAAAAAAGGAACAAATGAATGAATAAATAAATCTGGAAATAAATACATATAAAAAAAGAAATAAGCACACACATACATGCATACATATATAAGTACTTAAGCGCATACTTATAAGTAAATGATTGCATAAAAATAAATATAAAATTATTTAAAAAAATAAATGAAAGAATAATAAATAGTTTAAAAAATTTTTTATTACAAATTAATAAAACATTTTATCAAACCATTTATTATTTTATTTATTTTCCTATTATTACATTTAATTATTTATTTATCCATATATTTATTTATTTTTAATTTCTGCAGGTTTGGTCCTCCAGACTAGTGATCTGTTTTGTTCATTTCTATGCTGTTCTTTGCTCTCAGAGTGAACGAGTCTTGTACATGTGCGCTGCTACAGTAAACACATCTTGTATATGCTGTGTTTATGTGCTGAATACTGCCATTTTTATACTGCCAAGATTGTCATATTTATATACTAAAATTAGAAATGAGCTCGATATCTGACTCGTTTTTGTAGCTGTAACTGAATTCCAGCAAAACATGATGTTATACAATCATGACATATCATTGTTGGCTGTGTCAGTATCCTTATTAATAGTCCTACTGTGTAGTATACGTAGCTAGTGTTGCTGTAATGTTTAATTATAAAGAAGAAAAATCTTAAGAAAAAAGATAAGAATGTTCTTATATATTTTTTGGAATACAAAATATTCTTAACTTTGAACTTTGTTAGAAAATAAGAAGAAAATGTTGTTAACAAGAAATGTATTTTAAATAAATGTTTTGTGAATCTGCTCATCTGTACTGAGACACGGATGATACACTGAACATGAAGAGTTCAGCTACATGAAAAGATCAAACAGATTCATAATTCCTGATTCTGATGTGTTTTATCTCCATCAGATTCCCATCAGCTCACTCTGGATCTGAACACAGTGAATAAATACCTCCATCTGTCTGAGAGCAACAGAGTGATTACTGTCTCTTACACAGATCACCAGTATCTTGATCATCCAGACAGATTTGATGAGTGGTCACAGGTGTTGTGTAGAGAGAGTGTGTGTGGACGCTGTTACTGGGAGTTTGAGTGGAGTGGCGATAATGGTGTGTGTATATCAGTGTCATATAAGAGCATCAGCAGGAAGGGAGAGGGTGATGAGTGTTGGTTTGGATATAATAATCAGTCCTGGAGTTTGATCTGCTCTTCCTCCAGTTACTCATTCACACACAATAGCATAGAGACTGCTCTCCCTGTGAAGCACATCAGCAGTAGAATAGGAGTGTTTGTGGATCACAGTGCAGGAACTCTGTCCTTCTACAGCGTCTCTGACACAATGAGCCTCATCCACACAGTCCAGACCACATTCACTCAGCCGCTCTATCCTGGGTTTTTTGTTTATAATGAATCATCAGTGAAACTGTGTTGATGAATCAGAATAGACTGACGAGAGATTCTACTTATAATGCTTTGAGCTGCATGATAAATCAGTAACAGTGAGATGTTATAGAGTCTCTTCTTTTCTCTTGATGACATTAATACTGCAGCTGAACTTCTGTCAGTGAAATAACGTCAGAATAAATGTGTAATAAATCCTCATATAGACAGTAAGATCAGTGAGTCCTGCTGAGTGACCACGTGTTTCTGTGCTTTTCCTAACCTTCATTTGTGCTGATCAAATCAATCTCTCATTTAGTTTTCACAGTTTTTAATCAAATACATAGCAAATAATGGTGTAAAGCATGCACTTTTTTTTTTAAAGTGGGCACAAACATAAAATCTAATCAAAGATGTTTTTGTCAATGGTTTTTTTTGTTTTATTTTTTATAAACAATTTTTTTTTCCTCTTCAGGTTTACATTAAATAATTGTGTAAAGAATGCACATCACAAAAAAAATCGTCATTTTATGAGTTTACCTAAAATAAAAATAAAAACTTAAAGCCATTTTCTCAATGTTTCTGTTGTTTATACTAT